GGTGGCCAACGGGCACTGTAGGCATACAGTTATCCAGCTCGATAATTAGGGAGGGGAAAGGCAAACACAAACACACCCAGGTTGACATTCAAAACAAAGTAGAGATTTAACCATGGATTGCTCACTCTACCACCCCAGTTTTCTTGTCTGCCAATCTGCCAGGAGGAAACCATGAGCCAAAAAAAGCAGCACTGTTAGTAATTTATCAGTACAGCTGGTGGAAAAAGCACAATTCTGGATAGAAGCGTGAAGGCCTTTGTTGGAGCCCAGCCTTGTGTTTAAATGATGGCTTGATCTCCCAAAGTCTTTACCAGGTTTGGTGTCCTCACTTGTGAAATGAGGAATTGGGCAAGTTCTTCACTAAGTGCCCTCCATCTCTAAAAGGTCTTGACTCTCAATCCTTTTGGTTTCTTTCATTCATTCATTAGTGTATATATTTATGTATTCATTGAATAAACTGCAAACCTAACTGTGGATGAGGTATTGACAGTAGGTGACCAAAATACAGCACAATCAATCCACCACAGTGGAAGAAACAGCATTTAGTATTGATTGCCCTCAATTCCTAGGAGGGCAATGATATTCCAAGTTCTGTTTTCTAAGGAACAGACATACTGCTTTCGTCTCAAGGAAAAAATATGACGGATACTGCTTCTAGATGTCTTTCAAACACATCAAATGTCATCAGCTACTCTTTACAAGCTGAATACTTAGCTTAACATTTAACGCACTTTATCCTCTCCTTCTTAGCCCCACCCGTACCCCCGACTCACTCCATCTCACCCTCATTTCCAGGGCTAGGGTTTGGTTCCTTCTCATAATTTTAATTCAACTCAACTCAATGAAATTCAGTTCTCATTCATGGGGCCTTTCTCAGTACACGGAGCTTACACAATGCAGGGATTATTTTCGAGGAGCTTCCAATCAATCAAGTGGGGGAGACACACATGTAAAACAAGAAATGTCATGATTAAAATATGTTTGAATAGAGGCAGTGAGGCTGGAGCAGTCAGTGAAGCCACGGAGCTCTGGTTAAACCAAGAGGTAAGTTCCATACTAAACAACCACTCCACATTTTTTCCAGGTTATCTGGAGATCTAAACTATCCTTGCCATCCTTGTCTCCCGTTAGTATGTATATATAAATTCACCCAAAAAGGAATTTGATTTAATTATCTGGTTACTGATACCTGGAAGCTGTGTATTTTTATCAAAGGATCAATGTTGTGACGGAAAAGCTTTGTCATTAGAGTCTGAGACTTTAGCTTTTGCTAAGTGATGTGTCATTGGGCCAGTTTTTTAACCTCTTGGAGCCTCAGTTGCCTCAGCTGTAAAATGGGGACAATATCCCTGTTATGGGGCTGTCCTGAGAATAAAGTCAGGTCACAGCTCTACATACCTTCTCACTGGTATCAATACTTCCTAGGCTTCCTACCCCTATCCAAACTGAAGGTGGAATCTGGGCAGAGTGGCCAGAGCCCTCCATGAATTGTTGTTTATATGCCGTCCTCATTTTAATCAGTTCCAATATGAGAGTTGTCATCTCATCATTAATGAGACTCAAGACAGGTGTATGGACAAGTTCTCCCCACCCCTTATTTAGTTTCCAACCCTATTATTGACTTCTTTAAAAAGAAGAAAAGGAAAACCTTTTTCAAAGTTAGATAGAATTGGTCTAATTCTCACAGATAGAAATGAACACAAATCTACATAACTCTGAGAGCACCACATCCACATCATTGCAGAATCACTTGGCACCCAGCAAAGACTAGAAAAATGGGTCCCAGTCTGGTTTGCATTTCCTACCTGTTCTGTCTCCTTCCTCCCCTCTTCCACTTCTCTCTGCTCATCCTCCTCTTTCTCTCCCTCTCCCCTTTGAGTGTTAAAACTGTCCATCAGGTATCCAGTGAATTTCCTCCTAGCCAACCCCATTTTCAGGGAAGACACCCGCCGAGCCCAGGAATCTGGAAGGAAGAGCCTATCTCTCTGTGCGGTTAGAAAGATGGAAGGCTCTCACGGCTCTGAGTCTGCTCTGACCTCCAAACGAAACCCAATATGCACATATTCACTTGCATTGTGAAGTTATATGTTTCTTGGCTTAATTCTTCAGAAAAAGAGCCATAAAACTAAATTATTATCTGCCAGACTTATGATCAAATCAGCTTGGGCAGATGTGATTACAGTACATTGAAGTGCACTGCTTGATACTAATACACATTAGATCAAAAGAAGAACGTGTATGATTTTGATTTAAGATGTTGCAGGTTAATGCAAGATGGAGCTTACTGGGGACACCTATTTTGCTCTCTTCCACAACAGAGGTGACCGATTTGGGGCAAAGAAAATGGATGTCTTCTACTGAGCCATCACTCGTCAGACAGCTTCTAATAAAACTGTACCTGTAAAGCAATCCTGTCTACAGCTTTTGTCCACCTCGAGGACCTCTGAGTTTCCCCAGAGATTCAGGATGATGGCTTTTGTCAGTGGCCAAGAGGGAGTGTAAAGCGGACACTCTGACAGCACCATTCCCAGGAGACTAGGTCTGCAGCGTTGTGAGGTAGACAACACCTCCCAGGCAGCTCTCTGCTTTCTCTTGTGCTCTGAGAACACACCCCACACAGCGCCTTCATCACAATAGCCCATGTGTGACCTTTGGAAAAGTCCTTGAAAACAGCGAAACCAGAGTCTTAGTTGAAATCTGGAATCCATTCTAGTCTTACACAGGAAGAAAATTAGGCATACAACAACAAAGCCCATAGCTCTGAGAAACCTGGGGAGGCTCTGGCTGACATTAACATTGTGGAAGAGTTTTTTCCTTCTCTACTTTGTATTTTATAAAAAGCTTTTCATCTAAGAAAACCAAAGCTGCTAGAAAATCCTGTACGGTTAGTAGATGGCAATAACGGGTTTCTCCAGTGAATAAAGCAAGCAGAAATCAGAATAGGGACGCTCAGTAATGCATGAAAAGTCATTCACTTAACGCTTTTCCAAGCTACTAGGTAAACGCTCTTCTTCCAAAATATCAGTGGCCAATATTACAATTTTTCCCTTTGGATTAACAGTAATCCATATTTGTATTGGCAATACCCGGGTTAGGCGTGGGAGTTTGGAGCAGGGGGAAAAGCTGTATCTACTTCATGATACAGTTGGTTTGCCCAGACATCATGGATCTGGAAATATTCATTCACTTAGAACATGAATCAGCAGAGGAGTATGCCTGCTCAACATTTAACTCAACGAACATTTACAGGGTAACACTCTTTTTATAAGTACAGCCCAATTCTCCCTTTTGTCTCCTGCTGATGTCATTCACTATTAATCTGCCATATCATATGTTTTTATTTCATACATATAAATAACTAGAAACCTGTACTCCCTTTGGAAGCATTTTCCTTCTTTGCCAGCAAGAAGAGGGGTAGGACACTTCAGAGTCAAGTGGTGGCATAAAATCCAATGAAACTCAACTGCAGGGAAATTTGGTTTGGAATTGTGTTTTAGAATCTACCTCAAGTTTGTCTGGGAGGTCCCTCAAAAGGGATACAGACCCTGAACTAAACTAGGTGATTCAGAAATAATCCAGCTGGAGGAGTAGCATCTGATGCTTAGACCCAGAACACTTATTCAGACTCATGAATAACTTAATTTTATTTTTTTCTTAAGTACCGTCACAATTCATTTTTTATTTTCCTTTAAAAAAATGTAAATGGCATTACTCTGGTCTCCAAAACAGATGCCAGTTTGGACTTTACTCTGCCAGCAAGTATTTGGTTTGGCTCAGCAGGGCTTGAGTTGAAAAAATATTTGCCAATTCCAAAAAGATTTAACGAGCTTTGCTGAAGGTGCCGGTGCCATCTGGCACGTCACAGGGGCTGTGGCACAGCAAAGAGAACTCTCCCAACCACAGATTTTATTTGCTGAAGGTAGCCAACACTGGGAGTTCAGTTGCTTCCTTGGGCTGAGAAGCTGCAAGTGAAATGAGTGAAGTTTCCAAGAGAACGTGACCAAAGCAGGCGCCAAAAAAACTTGCTGCCATTGAAAACGAAGTCACTGGGTATTGATGGCTAATTTTCAGAGGTGTCAATAACATCCTCACCCCAGCCATTAGACAGGGTCCCTAACGCTGTCAGTCAGCAAACCAAATAAATCTCCAACTTCTAGCAAAAGCTATCTATCCGATATCAGATACTAAAAACTTTGCTGCAGTGTATTTTGTTGACATTTGATACCTTACTAACTGTGGTGTCAGAATTTGTACGAAAACTGAATGACCTACTTCAAGTAACTCCACTAAATATAACCAGCAAATTTACTTTATATGGCCAAGATCGACATGCATTGCTTTTATTAATATTTGGTAGAATAGAAATGCATGAATCTATCACTTTGATTGGAAGGACTGACCTTACTGCACATCAGTCTCATACGTTAAAAGTCACTGAAGTTGTCACCTGAAATCACACATTTCAGTATGAGCTGCAGTTACCCCGTGAGAAAACAAGGCAATGATCCTTTCAGCTCAATGTCACATCTGATGACTATAACAAAAACTGAAAAATATTTTCATAGTAGTATGTGCTTAAAAATCACATGTCTGTCTTGGTGGCCGTGGGGACAGGAAGAGTGGCATTGAAACTGTGACTACCTCGAAGGAGAGAAACTCTGGATTGTTTTTGCTAATTTCACTTTCTGAGCAAATATACACATACTTGGGTGCATAGCTCCTCAACTCTTATGGATTTCCCCAAACTTCCAAAAGTCCCTTTCACTAAGGCCACATGCTGGTCCAATGTTTGTTATATGAGCATCTGACGCCAAGGTTCAGTAACAAATAACCTCAAAGAGAGAGCCAAGCACTGCACAGCTTTTCCACAGAAAGACCTATTCACTGAAACAAAGACAGAGCCATCTACCTGACTTAACTGAAGTTTGGAAGTCAGAGCAGAAATCAAAAGAAAGAAAAAGTCATGAAATAACAAAAGGATGATTATAACTGTTATTTACCATTTTGGCTTCTGAATGCATTGGCTGGACTTGGGGAGAAGCACAGGCGTTGCTGAGATTTGGACCTTGCATTCCCAGGAGGTTGGAGTTCACTGACATTTGTCTCTCCATCTAAGAGAAAGGAAAGTAACAGGATCAGAAGTTTGAGAAAGGCAGTCTAGGTCATAGACAAAGCTGCATTTCTCTTTCAAATGTATCGTTTAGAATTTCTGTGAATAACTCCCGGCAAAGCCTGTGGTTTGCTGAAGGGTAAACAATATACTCCTGAGCCTTAAACTCAAGCACATCAAAGAATCATCCAAAGTTGCGCCTTCTAGAGAATACGCCCAATGCCAGAGAGAACTACGTGTTGTCATGGTAGATCATTTCCAAACAAAAGTATGCAATACTTCCACTTTTGCGAACACTCCAAATACTACTCATGATGCTTATTTTTATAGCTACACAGAATAACATACGCATAGAAAAATGCTGGAAGGATACAGAATATACCAAACGGTTATCTCAGGTTATCGGTGGCATTTTTGTTCACCCTAAGTTTTATACAGAAACGTGAATCATTTTAGCAATAAGAAAAAATTCATTTAAAAAGCCACCCTCTTAAAGATGACGTGTCTTCCTGTCTCTCCAACTCATGACCACAATCAAAATGATCCAGCGAGGTATCTGAGCTGCTGCCCCGGAACATCTTTCTCTTCCCTGTTAACCGTGTCTGACTACACAGGAGCAGTTTTAGGCCTCACAGCAGGGCTAGGGCTCTGGAAAGGTGAAGAAAGCAGTCAGGGTGCTGAAGACTCGCGATCAACGCCCCCCACTGTCCTGCTGGCCTGCCCTAGTGTCTATAGAATTAACATTCAAATATCTGAATTGAGTTCTGGCTTTTTTTTTTTTTTGGTAACATCTTTATCGGAGTATAATTGCTTTACAATGGTGTGTTAGTTTCTGCTTTATAACAAAGTGAATCAGTTATACATATACATATGTTCCCATATCTCTTCCCTCTTGCGTCTCCCTCCCTCCCACCCTCCCTATCCCACCCCTCTAGGTGGTCACAAAGCACCGAGCTGATCTCCCTGTGCTATGCGGCTGCTTCCCACTAGCTATCTATTTTACGTTTGGTAGTGTATATGTGTCCATGCCACTCTCTCACTATGTCCCAGCTTACCCTTCCCCCTTCCCGTATCCTCAAGTCCATTCTCTAGTAGGTCTGGGTCTTTATTCCCATCTTACCCCTAGGTTCTTCATGACTTTTTTTTTTTTTTCTTTGAGGCTATTTATATTTTAGCATACGGTATCTGTTTTTCTCTTTCTGACTTAACTTCACTCTGTATGACAGACTCTAGGTCCATCCACCTCACTACAAATAACTCAATTTCGTTTCTTTTGTCTCCGGGGCGCGTCCCTGTTAAAAAGTAAATACAGCAAAATCTCTATTTCAGTCAAGGAAGGGTGCGTCTGATTCAAATTTTCTGTTTAGTAGAAAATTAGCACTTTTTGAAGAACTAGAATAATGCTTAATAAATACTTAATACTGAAATCCCACAGAAAATAATTCGACTTTCCTCAGGGGGGAAATAGTTTCTTCAATGCAGGAGTTTTTCCATTTGCCAAAGGATGGAAATGAAAACAATGGTTGGAAATTTTAGGGAACCAGGTTTCTGCTCAGTTAGCCTAAGTAGTCTTAGAAAATACAGAGTTCCTTATCACTGGAGTTTGTCAAAGTGCGGAGGATGGAAACCTCACAGACAAGAGTTGAGAGTAATAGTTGAAATAAACGACCCTTTACCATTGTTGGGATTCTATCAATTCCTGCTGTGTCCACCCCAAGGGCAGGGGTGGGGTGGGTATAGTTGTGACACCCATGTGTGGATTAGCAGAGGTGCCTGCCTTAAAGCCTCTCATGAATGACTGGGGCACATTTCCTGTCACAGCAAAGCACCATCAGCCTTACCTTGGCCAGAATTATCTTACCAGTTATCTAGCAATGTATGAATATGTGAAATTGTTTCCAAAGGAGCTACTTAATGAAGGAGAACTTTCTAGAGCACTCTAGCAAAACCTTTTGCAGCACCAATTCAACAAAATAAAATAGAGTTGTCCCTCAGTATCCTCTGGGGATTGGTTTCAGGACCCACCTCTGATACCAAAATCCAAGGATGCTCAAGTCCCTTATATAAAATGGCATAGTAACTGCATAAAACTTACACACATCCTCCCTTATACTTTAAATCATCTCCAGATTACCTATAATACCTAATACAATGTAAATACTATGTAAATAGTTGCCAGCACTTGGCAAATTCAAGTGATGTTTTCTGGAACTTTCTGGTATTAAAAAATATATTTTCAGTCCATGGTTGGTTGAATCTGCAGATGTGGAACCCACAGGTATGGAGGGCCAACTGTATTCACTCTCATATTCCTCTAAACCTCCAGGCAGCCTGGGTAGTCTAATTTTTTAAATTATTTTTTAAAATCATGGCAAAATATACATAATATAAAATTTACCATTTTAACTCTTTTTACATGTACAGTTCAGTGTCATAAAGTACATTTGTATACTCTCATTGTTAAGTCACGGAGATTTCTCTAAAAAATGCTTATTACTTTATAACTCCCACTTCCAGAGGCTAGGGGATAGGAGAGTCGGAACAGGATTCAACACTTTATTCCAATTAGTGACCTTCTCCTAGAGGGAAATCAAGTCCAAAGGAGCTTCTGCTTTCAGTTTCCTAAAGGAGGATGGTTCAGAAGGACACATGATTATCCAGGGTTTTCCATCATGCTTTGTAGCCATCATGTTCTACAAAGAAGTGAGAGTAGCCTGCTTGCCGCCTCTTGATCCAGAGTCAGCCACGCTTCCCACTTTTCAGAAAAATTACAGTCTAGGACCGTTTCTACCTTATGACTGACAAATTAAACAGAATACTGAAAACAGGCTGATTTTCCGATCTTAAAAAATTGCATTTTTCCACCTAAGTAATTATAGGGGGTTAGCAAGAGCCTCTTTAAAACAACCATTTGGTGCTTTGTGCTAATAACGCTCTGCCCATGAGTGTGGCTTTAATGAGTGGACTAGAATTAAAGAGGTCAGAAGATGGGAGTGGCTTTGCTAAACACTAAGCGACACTGAGCACTGTAGGTAAAACATCCAGGTAAAGGATATCACCTTTTTTTGAGCTTCTCCTTTTCCCTTGAAACAAACTGGAAAACAGGAGCTAAAATGTCTGCAGTTCACTGGGCTTTTGTAATTATAAGTGGGTGTTTGTATTCCCAAATTATTTCAGCATTTGACTTTCAAGATCAGAAATCACGACCCAGTGAAGTGCTGGAAGCCAGTGCCTGCCTTTTTCTTCACCACATGCCAGCATCTAGCACAGAGCTTGCTCCACAGCAGGTGCTCAACAAAATTTTACGAAATAAATGAATGAATGAACAAATTCATCATTTGTTTCTGACCTAGAGCTTTGTGAAATATGTAGCCTGACAGCGTGCACTACAGATCAGTTAAGAATCTCAGCTTCGGGCTTCCCTGGTGGCACAGAGGCTGAGCATCTGCCTGCTAATGCAGGGGACACGGGTTCGAGCCCTGGTCTGGGAGGATCCCACATGCCACAGAGCAACTAGGTCCGTGAGCCACAATTACTGAGCCTGCGCGTCTGGAGCCTGTGCTCCGCAACAAGAGAGGCCGCGATGGTGAGAGGCCCGCGCACCGCGATGAAGAGTGGCCCCCGCTTGCCACAACTGGAGAAAGCCCTCGCAAAGAAACGAAGACCCAACACAGCAAAAATAAATAAATTAATTAATAAACTCCTACCCCCAACATCTAAAAAAGAAAAAGAATCTCACCTTCACCTACAGACATAAACTAATCTTTTATGCCACAGAAAGCATGACTTCTCAGGGCAAGAACTCTACGGAAAGACCACACTTGACAAGCCAAAATTACAGTGCAAGGGCTGGCGACTTGATAATAAGGAAGAAAAGGCCCAGATTTCTAGGGCCTAGAACTCTTAGCATATGCTTTTAGATACCTTGTGTTAATTTTCTTGAGCTACATTAGTGTCACACCGAATCACGATTTCCCAACCTTGGCACTACTGACATTTGGGGCCAAATAATTCTTTGTCGTCATAACTATCCTGTGTATTGTAGAATGTTTAACAGCATCCCTGGCCTCTACCCACTAGATGCCAGTAGCACTTCCCCAAAGTTGTGACAAGCAACAGTGTCTTCAGATATTGCCAAATAACCCCTCGGGTAAAAAACTGTCCACAGTTGCGAATCACTGCTCTAGACTGACCCTATTTTCATGACAGCTGTACACATCGCTGACATGGGTTTGGGAACTCCTGACTCTCTTTATCTACACTGGCTCTTTACCATGTACCTGATCCTTTGCTTCTATTCTGAAGCATCAACATTTTTTAAAAATTTCAAGTGTATTGACTTCTCTGTTAAAACTTTAAAGACTCTCTTTTTTTTGATGTGGACCATTTTTTTTTTTTTTAAGTCTTTATTGAATTTGTTACAATACTGCTCCTGTTTTATGTTTTGGTTTTTTGGCCACGAGGCATGTGGGACTCTTAGCTCCCCGACCAGGGACCGAACTCGCACCCCCTGCGTTGGAAGGCGAAATCTTAACCACTGGACCACCAGGTAAGTCCCAAAGACTCTCTTTCTTTTCAACTCCTCTATTATTTCAAGTTGTACAATGAAGTGATGTGGTAGAAACCAGTGCCAGGCACGCTTTTCTCTGGGTCTTTTCAGCCTAAATGTCCCACCTTTGCCCCTGGGAATGGAACACAGTTGAGTCAAATGGGGAAAAAAAGGTCATTGTAGTGATATTTTTCTGGACAATGCATAGAATTCCTGAAAGGAAACTATTTTGGACAAGAAGGATTTAAAGCCTGGATGAAGATGGCTTGTGGTAGAAGTCTCCATGCAATTAGTGGGGTTGAAAGAAACCCAGGATCACAGCATTGGTGGTGCTGTTTTCCTTTACCTAAAGATGTTTAAGGTGAGTGGTGCAGGTAAAGTCAGTCAGCTCACTTGTCCTTCTGACCCAGTTTTGCCAAGAACCTTTCTAGCCTGAACTACCTGATACTTACAGTGGGCAGGTCCATGTCTCTACAATTGGGCCACCAAGGCTTTCTCCACCCCGCTGCTTCCACTTGGATAAATGAGCAAATTGCTCATCCTGGGATGATCTGGGCTGTTCAGCATGAGGTGAGTGTGCATCCTAGTCACGACTCTTCCCTTACAAGCTGTGTGACATTTGACAAATCCCTTCAATGTCTGACTCTTCAGCTTTTATTGGTAAAATAAGTATATCAATAATGACTGCGATCATATTCCCACAGGACTGCTGTGAGGACAAAATGAAACAGCAAATGTAGACAGTTCCTTAGAATGCTAAAAATGCTCTGCAAAACATTCCTGATATCATTGTGGGAGGGTTTTAATTGAATTGTCATATCACCTCTAAGGCTTTTCAGAACCCTTGTGGCCCTGTAAATCGTAACACCAGCCATGTACACCGAAGCACAATGTCAGGGAGGATGACGATGTACAGGGTGGGGATCCCGCGCGGCAGGAGAGCAAGGTTTGCTCTGAAACAGTCTGTATCTGCATTCTACATGAATCTGTTGTTTTCAGAAGGGGCCGTATAATATCATGTACGCGTGTAGACTCGGGAAGGGGCAGTATAATATCATGTACGCATGGAGACTCAGGAGCCAGACCACCTGGATTTAAATCCTGATTCTGTCACTCACTAGCTCTTAGTGACTTAGTCACTTAACCAAGTTCCTTAGCCTCCTGTGCCTCAGTTTCCTCATCTGCAAAATGAGGGTAATAACAGTGCATACCTCAGAGGTTTGTTGTGAGAGGGAAAGGAGAGAATGTACGGATCATGTAGTGGTTGAGAGAGAATTCCTGGGTTCAAAACTCAGCTACTCTGCTTCTCAGCCAAGCAAGCTACTTACCTTACTTTCTCCATTCAGAAAAATGGGATCATATTAGTACCTACCTGAGAGGGTTGTTTCACATGTTGATGAAGTGCTTAGAGAGTGACTGGCACATGGTAAAAGCCCTCAATAAACGCTGCTAACGTGATTAACAGAACACGATACACACGGATACGTGTTAGCAGTTATTATGTACCATCATTATTATTGTTATTATTCTAATTATCACTCTGAGTCCTGGCTAGACCACTCATTGGCAATTTAATGACACTCTGTATGTAGCCCAAGCTATAGGCTTTGGAGTAGTCATAAAATCCCGTGTCCCTGGACAAATTCCATTCCCTGGGTACGACAAGCTCACTTGTCACCAGCAGGAAGATGGAACCATGCCTCATTAGGGAAGCACTGTAGGATGGAGAAGCCAGCAAGATGCCCAGGGATGCACAGCGAGGCACTCAAAGCAAACTGGCACCCAGCTCAACTCTCCATCCAGAAGAAGCCACTTTCTTCCCTGTCAGCTTAGATCTCAGCTCTTCCTGTACTCTTTCAAATGGGGCAACCAAGGCAGAGGTCAGAAGCACTTACTGGCATCAAGACGGCGGAAGAGCCCGGCATTGTAGGGTTGGGCAGGGTCCCTGGCATGGAGGCTGGCATGGGCTGTCTCTGTCTGTTGTGAAGATGGAGCAGAGAAGATAGAGAGCCTGGGACAGGCCTGGGAACAAAAAAAAAGAAAAAATAGCAAACATTATTCTCAATGCCCTGATCAGGGGATTCACTGCCTGTTTCCCATGTCCAGAGCCAGCGGGGACAACACCATTACATGAGCAGCAGATCAGATCCCCTGATGGGAGCCACATAATTAAGGATATTAGGGAAATAATAACAAATGAAATACAAGCCTGGCTTCCTTTGCTACTTCCCAGTTCATTTCCTGACCTCTGTTATCTAACTGATATTCAATAGACAACACGCCGGTAAATCTCCTACAACCCTTGCATCTCAGGAAAGGGACCTGGTGGTGAAATCCTGTGTGTTTACTCTGAAGCCTCTGCCCTCTGGAGGACCTTAGAGCCTGAGATCTGTGTACATTTGTTTTATCCACACTCTCTCACACCTCTGCCTGGAAGCCTGCCTGGCTTTGCTCTGGATATACTTTCACTATCCGGATTTGCAGAGCCAACTTCATTCATAATTTCCCAATAGAAATCCATTTTGACTTCTTCACAGTTCTCTACTTTGAGTGGAAAAAAAAACCCCAACAAAGCCAGGTCACAAACCAAAGTAGCTAGATTATGGTTCACAGCAATGCAACGAGCCTTTCTCAAGGCGAGTCTGGAGCCCAGCCCCCAATTACCAATCCCTCATTTCATAATAGCTCGAGGTGTTAGGCTGTTTGACAGAAACTGATTTCGGCCTGACCTGTAGAACTTGGGTAAGCATTCCTTGGGGGAGTACACAGTTCTTTTGCTTCAATTTGCCAGAAAAAAATTTACGGGTCTTAAATTGATTTAATGAGCCAGGGAATATGGGACTGAGGGAAAAGGGGAATTATTTGTGTTTATTAAAAATGGCAAACAAGTGACCTCCTTGGCTAGATTCTCAATCTCCTAATGCTCTTGCTCTGGGGAGCTGTATAAATGTCAAACCATCGAAGTAAAGACTTAACAACAAACAAATACAACAAAACAAACAAATAAACAAACACCCTTCAGGACCTCTGAGTCTTCCATGTTAAACCATCTTATCCTGAATGCCGTGATAGAAACTTGTGCTTCCCAAATTAATGTATTTTCTAAAAAAAAAAAAAAAAAAAAAAAATCCCTCATGCTAAGCGCTGGGTAAGGATTGCCGAGAGATGTTCTCTGCAGGCCAACGCCTTCCTGTGTTTCAGGGAAGGGTAGCATGAAGAGCCTCTTCTTTGGAGCTCATTTGCCTCCCATGGGTGACTCATGGAGCCTAAACTGGGAAAAAGAACGCCAAGATATTCTTCCTTCCCATTGCTGTTACGATTCCAAAGAAGATTAAGTTTTCTGTTCTTTTCGCCTGAAAGGTCCCTTGGAAACATAGCTTGCTATCAGAGTCACACACGTCATAGAAGGATTAGTCCTAGATTAGTCCTAGATTTATGTTTAGGGAGTTGTGTATATGAAAATAAAAAATATATATATAAAACCTTTACACAGAGTTTACGGAGATGTACACAAATTACAACCAGTTCTATTAATAGAATGTGTGTGAGTGATTACATAGATCGGCTAATATAAGAAGCTTGTAACAATGAAATGAGTGTTTTCAGAAAAGCAAATGAAGTCCTATGGGTATTTCTTGGCATGTACCCTTGGGACCTCTGGAGTATGGATGAACAGTAAGGATTAGTAAGGCCTTTGAAGGCCCTTCAGCTTTTACAATTCTAGGAAATTGCTGGTTTCAACTGCTCCAAAATTCTGTAGTTGTAATGTCACTAGGTCTTAAAGTCTATGTCATTCAGAGGTGAAGAGCTCAGTCAGAGAGGTATAAAATGCTGCTCAGTCATCAGACATTTGTTTTGTATTCTCTAGTCTTAATGTTTTGTTTGGGACCTTTGCTGAAAAGAAAATAGCTATATATCAAAGTACAGAATATTTAATAATGGTCAGTTCCTCTAAGTACAAGATTAATAATCTGAACTCCCCACTTTCATAATGAAACCCTACAGATAGTTAATTATCCATCCAACCATTCATCTAAAGATATCCACATAGATAGAGACAGACAACTATACATACATGCATGCATATAGATACATAAATCTATACATACATACAGTCTTCTACCATATATGTGTTCCCCTAGTCACCAGAGGTAATGCTTTGAGTGCAGACAGTTAGGGACACGTAAAAACTGTTATAGGAAAGACAACTAAAAATATTTGATTATGTTGATGAGCAGTATCACGCTCATAAACGAGGGCAACACATTATCATCATCTATATTTTGTTCCCAACATTTTAATGGTAACCTTGGTTATCAGTTTTTATTGATGGGTTATTTTTTTAAAAAGAAATCAATTAAACAACTTAATGGTGATGTAAATGAAGACGCAAAAGTAATTAAATTTAAAACAAGTTTTTGTTCTTCCCCAAACTGTAGAAAACTCCCAGTTGTATAGAATAATTGGGGAATAGTATGTTTCATTTAATTCAATGTTCTTATTAGATCAGTTATTTCCACACCATGCATAGGTCTCCTAGATTTTAAAATATCAAGTATTCCCTCATTAATTAAGAAAATCTTTCAGGGTACTGGGTTCCCTTGGGATTATAATAATAATTACTAATGATACCAATCAGACCAATTAGCAACGTATACTTGGAGGGAAAAATGGTTATTACAGAATGCTGTATGTTTGAATTCTGAATAATTTTGAATTATTGTTTTACCCAGATTCTGTAAATAATTTCCCCAACTCCACCTGCAAAACCAATGGAGTTTTCTAGGCTTCTTGCTTAGGTTTTTAAAACTACAAAAACTGCAAAAACAAAAATCTATGGCTACCCATCACTAGATACACAAAGGACTAGAATGGGGTTATTATGTAGCTTGGCCGGAGAAATAATCATTTGTCCAGAATATTCAGACCACTGAAGCAAGAACGGTATTGGAATACTTGCATTAATTGTCTAATTCCCTTTGTGCATGTAGAAATAATAATTATTTAATACATTGCATAAAATTTTTTATATTGCACTTATACATTGCTTCATACTTTTCTAAATATGTTCATCTTCATGTGACTTGAAACAATGCAATGTGGTAGGTAGGTCCTATTACTCCCATTTTACTTAGGAGGAAGCTGAATTCAGAGACATTTAAATTTGCCCAAGGTCATACGGGTCATGAAAAGAAGTAGGACTTATTCTCAACTTGCAATATAGGGCTGCCCCCATCCCACCTTGATGGCTCCCATAACTAAGTTATTATTGATTTTTTTATACTAAAATAAATCCACGGTCCATTTCCTTTGATATTCACATTGCTCCCTGGACTTTCCAATGAAGTCGTACAATTCTGCAATACTGCTAACATGAGAAGTCACTGATCCATGTGAAATTATGTTTTCTTCCTTTAAAAAAAAACCAAACTTCCCAAACAACACATCAGCTAGGCTCTGAAAATAAGATGGCAAATTGCAGTAAAGTTGTGAAAACAAAGACCCAACAGTCTCTCTCCAGTGCAGGCTTGTTGCCATGAGTTAATTCCAGGCTTTGAGCGAGCCGAGCCTCCTTTTTAATAACCATATGCCTCTAGGTAAAGTATTTCTACTAAAAATTATTGAGACATGGAACAAGGTAAGATGTGTGAGCTCATATTGGATTGTTCAGTTATGAAACTGAGTCCCATAGCATTAAGAGTTTTCCAACTTGACAGATTATTCCTCTTTATACACTTGTATAAACATACTGCTTATGGCTGAAATCTATGTAAGCTTTTCTTTCAAATACGATGTCAGGGATGACAGACTGTGTTTTCACCGTCCTTCACAGAATGATAGGTACCACAGCGAGAGATTTCATGGCCTCGTTCTTCCCTTCAAAGTATGTTATCCAATCTAGGGATGTCAGTAAAGACGCCTGCTGGTCTTCCTTGCCCTTGGGCAAGCCCAACTATCTTTAAGGAGCCAAGGGCCAGTGCTTTTGTTTGCAAGATCTCAGGAGGATCACTGCAGACTACTCTTCTTTCCCAGGTCTTCACCAGATCCAAGACTTCCTGGGATTGCTTATTAAACTCTAAAGACAGGCAGATAGGCCAGGTACGTGGACAGGCAAAGGGAAGAGGCGAATGATGAAAAAAAAATTAGGTTGGAAAATTGGAAGATCAATATTAGCATCAAAATCAGACTACAGCCATCTAAGAAATCTTGAGCAGATAAAAAAATAACTACAAAAGAACTTGGTGTTGGGGGGCGGGGGACAGACTGAGGGAAAGCTTGAAAAGCAAGAAAATGGCAGGAAGAGTGGGCAAGCAGCAGGGGATCCAGATGCCATTGCTATGAGAGTTTCTGGCTCTGGAGAAGAAACTTCCTTAGCTTTTAGGCTCTCCTTCTCATCATCTGTTTAGTGAATGGATCAGACTACAGGCCCTTGAAACTCTCAAATTCAGATTCTAGGGCTCGAACTGAAAATGAGATGTTCTTAACCTAGTGAGACTATATGTTTCATTATGATAAGTGTATTCTTTACTGCTCACTGGTGCGTCCACAGCCCTTAACCTGGCACCTGGCACATAGGAGGGGCTCAGTGTGTCTCTCTTAAGTGAAATTGAGCTGGTACAGCACCTAGTTCTTAAATTCCAAATAGAAGGTGTCCCTAAAAAGTGAGAGAAATTGCTTAAAAACAGACCCAATCCATTCTATGGGGCCCACACTTCGCTCTCATTTAAATGTAACACGATCTCACACACAGACTAGAGAAACCTTGTTGACTGCTATCTTTGTATTTGCTTATGAGAAGAAAGATGTGCTTCCTCTGGACCTTCTTAAATGAAGTGTTGTGGCCTAATTTAGCAAACTAGTCTCTGTCTGGGGTGGGGAGACTGAAGAGTTGAAGAGGAGAATACAAAACTCTTAAGTCTTAAGAGGAGGCAGTTTGTAATGAGAAATGCTTATTTACTCATTCTTCTCCTAAGTGGGATTTTAAAATTCCTATTTTTGTAAAGCAAGCAAATTGCCAGGAT